CCCCGTCTATAGTGCAGAGGAAATGGTGGATAGTTCGTGTTTCTGTGTAAAATAGGAAGTGAGTCAAAACTCAATCCTTCAAACAATTAGCAGGAGGTGAAACAGGAAGCATGCAGGAAATGTATGTGTTTGAAAAACAAAGAGGGAGTTGGATTTTATCTGGATGGCCTTGTTGCAGAGCTCACAGGCTAAGTTTGTTTTCATGCATAGAATGAAGCAGGCGTCTCTCTCAGCTGCTGTTAACAGCGTAGTTTCAGCCGCAAGCCTTTTTGTGATCATGGGACTTTTTCTGTGGTTAGGCTGAGGTTATGGTATTTAAGAACTCAGTGACTATATACTGGCCTGCTTGTGTGCGTGTCACGAAGAAGAGACAGACTGCAGTGTAGAGCTTCTGTGACCTAACTTTTTTTCAGATTAGTAACCTTAGTCTTGTTCACTGTGAATTGGCAGTGCACCACATTATTGTGTGCTTCATGTGGAATTGAGTTCTAGCACTGCCTATCACAGTAGGACCTAAGATATGTGCCAACACAAATGTCCCTATACCACCTGACAATGGTGTTACGGTTTGTAGTCGTCAGTCTGGACAGGTAGCTTGTTTACTAAGGTATGTTCTGTCGGCCATGGTTTCGTAGTCATTCTGGTATGCCATGCTTGAAAGCAATCCACAGGCAAGCTGGCGAAACCAGTTCACTATCCTGTTTTTAACCCAACAAGCTCTCACCCGCCCATGTGAGCTTGTTTATTATAAAGTAACTTCTGTTACTAGTATCATGTTGTAAAAGTGTGTGTGCCCTGTTTTGGAATATGTTTATGAGGACTCAGTGTCTTCACAAACATAGATAAGGAGACGCTGTGTGTACCAGATCTTATTAATGATGTTTTGGGGTTGGGATTGGGTTTAAAGTGGGAATATAAAGATGGTTTCATGTCAAAATTAATTTAGATTAGGGAATGAAAACAGTAAACGGAAGGTCTTCAGAAGTATACCTAAGCCAGCCGAAGAAGGGGTTTCCCCCGTCAGCTCTGTTTATATAATCTATATGAATCCTGTCTCATACATTTGTGGGCTGCTGCGTGGACTCCACCAGCTATTGCTCCTATAAACCAAAATAGCAGCTTCAACTTATCACATACAATGGGGATAAACTTAGATATAACTGATTAGCTGAGAGATCTCAAAGCTTCAAAGTAATTATTATACAAATTCTGACTGGGATTACAAAATGCTGAAAAGGTCAGAGAAAGTTGTATTTGTTAAATTTTGATAAAACTGAGGAACTTTTGGCCGATGACTGAAAAAGACACATATTAGATAAATCAATATTTGTGTTATTAAGTGGGATTTAAATGTAAAAAATATCATATTCTGGTTTCACTTTTCATTTATTTAACCCTTCTGTGAGTAAAGCATCTTTAATTATTATTATCAAATTACATTTAATTTTTTTTTTTTAAACTTTCACTGTTTCAAAATAACTTATTTGTGTCTCTGTGTCTGTGTGTGTCTTTCCTCCAGCAAACAGTAAGAATGTAAGCTGGCTCCTCGGCCGGGATGGAGATGTGGCAGTCATTGTGATTGGAGAGGTGGATGAACTGAGCTCCAAATTTATCTGCTCAGGATTTGGAGAGAAGAAGGCGCAGAGTCTTCAGAACAACGCTTAGTAATACACCTTTGTAATATTAAACAGATTACATGAACATGAACAAATACATGATATACAATACAAATATACGCATATACACACACATATATGACATGTTGTGATTATGTTTGCAGCCATCAAACTATCTTGAAGACCAGAAAAACCACAGCAGAACCTGCCAGAATGGAGAGAGAGAACTTCCCTCCTAAAACGCAACCTGGAATTTCACTGAATTTAAAGGTGTGCAGCTGTTTGAAATCAAATCATGTTGTCTGCCACAGTGATTCTCCAGCTGGAGACAGGACAAAGATGATTTAGAGGATGGGGAAAACATTTATTTAACAACTCTCATTTTTCCTGTTTTTTTCATGTGACATCGCTGTCTCCCATCGGGGGTACTGGTTTCTGTGTTTGATAAAACAAAACAATCTGATAAAGGATTAATTGGTTTAACTATTTACCACAGTATATGAATGTAAATATTTAAAAACAGAGTTTGAGAATCACTGGTACGTCAGACCAACTAATACAAAAGTCCTATAATATCCCTTTGTCCGTTCATCTTTGCCTTTTAACAGATTCTTTGTCTCATTCCTTGAAATTCAACAGTTCCCTCTCAAACATAACACATCCATCACTTCATTTTCACTTCTCTTACCTGCCATGCAGCTTTCGAAAACTATCAATTAGGCTTTTGAGCATAGCTGGTGAAAATCAACCCTCCCAATTAAAAATACAACCTTCATAATTTGAGCCTGTATTTTGTGTCAAAATAAGCATTCACTGTGCATAATTTCCAAGGTGGTGATATTTTGCATGTGTGTGTGTGTGTGTGTGTGTGTGTGTGCATTTGGCGGTGTGTTAGCTGTTGATTTTTGGAGTTGTGGAGGTGGTGGTGGTGGGGGGGGGTATGTCTCCTCTTTTTCACGGTATCTTAAAAGGAGATTTGCTGCGTTGTCATGGCAACCGTGCACACACTGAGCCAAGAGCGAGCCGGGGTGGACGGTCTCATCTGGCCTGACCACGATGGTTCTCTGAGCTAAAGCTGCACGCTGCTCACTCAGTGGAAATTTGAGCATCCCGGCCAGTCACTGTATTTTCCTGCAGTCGCACTACCACACCCAGATATGCTTTTAAACATTTATCATTTGCAATATTCTTTATTAACATGAGTACCTCTTTTAAAACTCTCAATTAAACTCCTGCTCTGTTTTTTTCCTGCTCATTCCAAGTACTGATCTGAGTCACAGTTAAAGGAGGATGACGTGTCGCCTCTAATATCATCTAACATGGAACTGTCTCTCCCAACAGGGGAAATGTGAGGAGAAGAGCACTTTACTCCCTCTGCCGGTGAGTTGGAGCAGCTGCCTGCTATAACTGAGCTCTGTGCTCTCGGGGTTGCATCATGGCCTGTAACACTCTGTGTGTAATGTCTCTGTTGAACCCACAGGTGTCAGTGAGCGAGCATTCATCACCTCCGGCAGCAGAAAAGGTATTTTTGAATTTAAGTCATTTTACGTTTTTCTTTTTAGTTGCTGCGATCCAGTTTTTTGCTTTTAAGAAATTTTGCTTCAGTGAAGTGTACATTTTAAATAGTTTATAAAGCAAAGAACATTTTTTATTTATTTTTTTTTACTTTTTTTCATCTGAACTGAGCAGCACATTTTAAAACAACAGCCTGGCATATCCCAGCAAGGTGTGATCAACAGTATAGGGAAACACTCCTCGGCTCTTTGAAATGTGGCTTTAGAGTGCCTGTGTGTCTTTTCATGGCAGTCCCACCCTCTGTGAGTAACAGGAAATGGTGGTTAGGCCAGCTGTCCCCTCACTCCCAGCCTCTCTGCAGATCATCTTTCTCCCAGAATTCTCCCTCTCTGTGCTCCCCGCTCAGTCTGAGCTGCCGCACCCCTCGCAGCTCTCTCCGGGGAGCAGCTGAACTGAACTGTCCTCCCACTGGCTCCATCAGCGCTCCAGCCTTGGGTTGTCTGGGGAGTATGCTCTCCATCTCCCCTCGCTTTCTTTCTTTTTCTCTGTGTTTATATGCACGCAAATGTGTGTGTGTGTGTCTTAAGGTGTCATGCGCTGCGAGAACAGCTGAATCACAGAGGCAAGGCAGGATTTCTGGACTGCCCTAGAACAGATGGTTGATGAACTTGATCAGGGAATTAAAACGCCAGAGATAGAGAATGCGTCAGTCACAGATGGATAGGATTGTGGGATAGTCTCCTGAGGTTTGGGCGTGTGAGCTCTCCTCTGTTCTCCGTTTTTCCCTCCTCTTTGCTACAGAAGGAAATGTCTCTCCCTCACTTCTTATATCTATACCAGAGTCTCTATACAACAGGCCCTAACACATCTCTGGCCAACTCATGCCAATGCGGGAATGAGCACCCACACCTTAGGAGGTTTGGCCGGTCTGACAGCCAAGAAATCACAGCCTAAGCCACCCCTTACAAGATTCATTATTTTGTTGAATGTCTGGTTCGTAGGTAGGGTGATTTATGTCTGGAAACAGGAAGTGGCTGGTTTGGTGCTGCAGATGCAGAGGTTGCTGTTGTTAGCAGGTTTTTTCCAGTTGATTTAGAGAGGGATGGAGTCAGCCTGAGAGAGGAGGAGAGAGTGAGATTGTTGATTAAGAAGGCGTAAGATCAGGAAGGAAGATTAGCGAGGCAGCTTGATTTCCAAGTCACCTTATAATTTTCTCTCCACACATCCTTAAACTCTTAATCAGTGGTCATAGTTCTGTGTATTTCATTATGGCACAGTGTAGTCATTGGAGAGCTGTAATTTGGTGAATCATTTATCCAGTGATTTAATCAAACATGACAGTAATTCCACTGTATGTGAATTAGCTGTCAACACTGATCGCACTCTTCTGTCCCCTTTTGTCACTCTTCCCTCTGCAGCTCGAGTCGAAATCAGCCAGTGCGACTGGGGAGAAGTCGGTTCCCCAGCCCTCCATCTGCTCCAGGCCTCCCACGAGAGCTAGCCCTGTCAATGTGAGACCAGCTTCTGCAAATGCAGCACCAGGCTCTGTCAACACGAGACCTGGCCTCGCAAATCTGAGGCTGGCCACCGCCGCAGCATCAGCTCCCCCCAGCAGCACTGTCAAAATAGACTCTGGAGCAACGTCAGCTACCAAAGTTGGCCTGCGCGCACAGGAACCTCAGAATCCCCAGGAATCACAGGGTGGGAAAGGTGAGTGAGCATAGCATCACGGGTAAGGGTGCATGATGGGTCCAATATATATACATTTATTTTTTTAGTGCCAGCTGTCTTTTACTTGCTGGCTATTCAAGAGAAATACCCAAACAGCGATATTAATGATGGCTGGTGCCATCGTGGATAAACACAGGTAATAGAGACATCCCTGAAACTGGAATATAGATTAATCTTACACTCTAACTTCTGTTATTGTTTTTTGGGGAGATATTAAATGGACACAAATGTGTGTTGAAAATGGTAGATAATGCAACTAGCTTACATGACACCACAGAGACAATAAGAGAACCCCTTCCCACTGTTTCTTCTCTGTGGAGATAACCAGTCATACCCGATTTCTCAGCGCTGCAGCAAAGGAAGAAAGATTTATTTCCCCAAATCTAATGTGCTCGCCAAATAGTACCTCAGCCTGCTGGAATCTTTATGGACTGGCAGAGCAAAAAGAGGCCAACCCTAGAGGGGAAAAAAGCTTATGTGACTGGGATTTGTGTCGTGGTACCACATTGCCCCCACACACCTGTTTGTTTGATAGCTTATCCATTGTCATGGGTACATGCCAGCAGTGAAATTGTCAATAAACACTCTAGATTGATTGAGGTGCATGGTCATTTAACCAGATCAAGTATGATGCCAGAGGACAGACGGATATAAGATGGAACACTGGTCCTCATTTTCTATTTAATGTGGGTTGAAGTGAGCAATAGGAAACCTCCAAAATGTTATGGTCTCTTACAATCAGGTTTTTCAGTGAATAGTAATATTCAACTAAATTTTTGTATGAACCCAAAACCCATAATATAATAGAGCCTTGAATTCACTTTATGTTAAATAGTTTGTCATCACATCATTATGCAAAAATTAACTAACACTATTTCTTATTTTACCTTATTTGTGCCTTACACAGTGTTTGTGTAATTTGTGTATTATTTGACAGCCTTTTCCATCATTAAACCAGTAAGAACAGGTAACTTTGTAATGGACGAAGGCATGAGGGCAGAGTGGTGGCAAAAACCAATTAACTGTATCCCTCACAAGCATTACATTTAAACAGGTTTTCACATTTTATTCAGTTTTTCACAAACCAGTGGGACGCTGTATTTGTCTTTTCTTTCTTTCTTTGTGTCTCTGCTACTTGCATACTTCTGCCTTTGTCCATGCAGATGTTCATTGTTTAGAGGGATTTCTTCAGGCTTTTCCTTCATAAAATCTATTTTGGGCCTTTACATAAACATTATTGTCATTATTATGTTCCAGGTTGTGCAGATTACTTCTTATTGATTGTGATTCCTGTAGACTTCCTGTCTGAACACAGCAGTCAGTTTCATGAATTGACCAAACACTCATTCACCACACAGTGACCCAGTTATGCAGAAAAATTGGTAGTGTAAGGTTGAAGTTAGCACCATCCAGTGGAAAGCAACGATACTGTAGGGGGAAAAAAGTCCAGTTGGATAGAAAACCTCATTTCCATAGGGTCCCTCTGCTGGAATAATGTTCATCCTACAGCACATTCACACTTAAAATCAACAGAGAAGCTTAAATGCAAATTTTTCCTGAAGTATTTGAACGTTTTGTGAGAGAGCTCAGTTAGATAAATAGTCATCCTGACATTATCTGAATCAAATCAATCCCCCAATATGATGACACCTTCACAGGCAGTGCCTTAAGGTTGAGTGTATTCTATTTTGTCTGCATGGTATCCAGAACTTGTTAAAGACAGCTGAATGGGGGAAGAAAATAAAACACACCTAAAACAATTTCTGGATGTGCCCCCCCCCCCTCTCTCTTTAGTGTCTGGTTCATTCTGAACATTCCTGGCAGTTCATTGTAGATTTTGGAGGCTGGGTAAATCTCTCCAAAAAGCCATGCACAAAAGAGCTACCAAGCTCTTAATAATGTGTCATCAAGAAGCAAAATCCTGGAAATATTTGTGAAATTCTGTTTGCAAATATTGACTGAACTGAACTCTACTGAACATAGAATATCCTAATCAAGTTGTTTTTTAATGGAATTTCTGCTTTGCCATTGTTAAGTAAAAAATCTGTTGTTTTTTTTTACTGAAGGCATGTGCCATGAGCTCAGAGCTTTTAAGGTGATTTATCAACTGGATCAGGATCAGCAGTTTCACAGAACACAGATGACTAAAATCTGGATAGAAAGAAGAAACCAAAAGACACATTTCCAATAAATCGTGGTAGCATGGGCGTGTTTATGTGTGTGTGCCTGCACCCACATTAGTGGCTGGATGTGAGATCAGTGGGCAATGCCAGGCCAGCGAATAACAGACGAATGTAGGGAATAGAAAGGGAGAGGAAAGGGAGAGGAACAGCTGGTGTGGTGGGAGCTGAGGTGGGCCGAACACAGTGCTGAATAAATGTGTCTTGACTCTGGACAAAAAAATACTGACTGAGTGTCTGTCCTTGACAATGGCAGGAAGCTTGTTGGCGGAGGCCGACGAGGATAAGGCTCATGCCTCAGCTGTTTTCTTTTGAATGTGGGTAATGACAAGGATTCCTGCATTCTACGTGCACTGTGACCCACACAACAGTTATACAAGATGAACTTAATAATCTGCTTCAGTGACATTCATGTGTATTTACAAGTACCCACTGGAGCTGGACAAAACGTGACCTCCAGAATATAAGAGAATTCAAGAAGTTGTATTTGAGATTGGATGCCATGATAACAACTTTTGTTAAACCAGAGACAACGGGATAAAATGTATCACCAGATTGAAAGTATAAAGTTCTGGATGTTGTCAAGATGCTGTTGTTAAATGTCCAGAAAGCGAGTTTATTTTAGGGCCTGGGGAAAGAATTAGCTTTTAATTTCATCTGAAGTAATATACTTTATTGTTGTCTGAAATACAGGATTCAAGACATCTTAACTTTATAAATTATTGTTTACTTTTTATTAATACAAAATATTATTAGCTTAGATGTTTTGATTAAACCAGAATTATTATTTTTGTACATTAAATGCTGTTAAAGTTACATGTCGTCTGCATAAAAACGAACATGAAGGACATACTATGAGTAATATTTCAGATAATAGGTGAAGTGTGTGGAGTGAGTATACGATTGAGTGTAGGAGCTGAACCAGAAGATGCAAAAATGTGTGTGTGTGTGTGTGTGTGTGTGTGTGTGTGTCATATGATTTGAGCACATGTTAGCATGAAAGTGTATCAATCTCCAGCAGCTGGCGGTATGTGTTCATGTGTGTATGCGTGTGCTCGTGTTTATAAACCCTTCCCTGTCTGTCGGCCGGCTTTCCTCTCCTCTCTCTTCACCTTCAGAGGGAAGGACACACATTCCAGCGCTCCTTCCCAACTCTAGCCCTGGGCGACGCTCAGCCAGAGCTGATAAGTGACAGGGGCCCCAGCCCCCACACAGGAGCCCCCCCC